AACAACAACAACAACATTAACCAGTGAATGCTTATACAAATGGTGCACACATCTCTCCAAAACTAATTTGAAAAGTCCGGTTTCTAAAGTGTTCTATATTTATTATACTTTTAAATTTGCAATTTTATTCATAATCCTCCTACATAACCGATAATTATCATGTATTTTTTCTAATAATAATCTAACTCCTAGTTTGTCTTTAGAGGCAATCTGTATGCTTGGTTTTGACCTCTAACTCGTTACGTGAGCTGGATGCTCGTTCCTTCAGAGATCGCTTTCTTCCTGTGTGATATTCCTCACAGCTTCAGCTTCAGGTCACAGTGCCAGACTCATCCATTCTCTCTGCCCAGAAAAGTCTAGGAGAGATGGCTAGCTGGATAATGGCGGTGGAAGGTTTTGTGGTTTGTGTTGTGTGAGTTTAGGAGAGTCTTTTGTTTTTGAAGGTATTGAGTTCCATTTCTGAATTGTTTTTATAAAGCTTGTGCATGTGCATTATACATAGGATGGGTACATTTTTTATATACTGAAATAAATACATAATAAATTAAAATGGAGGGATACCATCTATCCCTGGTTTACATTACACTTTGTGTAGTGCAAAACCTAATCAGGGCAATTCCATAAAAAAATTCAGCTGTGCAGATGTTTTTTTCACTTCAAAGCTTTACATATATTGGAATCTAAGCCCTTGTGATATACATCAGTGGATGCACATTGGTGTCCCTTGGCTAATCAAATGTGTTACCTCTTGGCATGCTTAGGGTAAGAAAAATCACAAAGTAAAGCTGAGCCAACAGAGTAGCTGAGACACCAACACGCCTTTGATATTTTAGAATTCAGTTTGAATCATTAACTTAATATTTTTAAATACTTGCAAAATATCCAAAAAGAACATTTAATTTTTAGAACTATGTGTGAGATAAACATTAGGCCAAAAAAAACCTCTATGAATGATATTGAAGAACACTGATAGTTGTGTCCTGTTAGAACAATTTATAAAGCATTTGGAAGAGTAGCCTTTATTGAACAGCAGTAGATTGCTTTTTGTAAGCAAAACCAAGGGTTACACTTGGGTCTAGATTGTATTCACTGGTGGGGAGAAGATTGCAGATGGAACTTCTACAACAGCTCATGCAGAAGTGTTTGATACCAAAGCACTCAAGAGTGCTAGGAAGAGGACTGACTAACATACTCTCTTGCTGACAGGGGATATGCTCTGCCTTTTAGACAGCATGTCCAACTCCCAAGTATACATTCTGCAATCAGCCATAATCACTAATCAAAGGTGAAGTTGTTCCCGATTGTAAAAGAAGTAAAGTTCACCCAGAACTGTTTTGCACCAGCCTACGTTTAGCTATCTTCCCCTGTAATTGCAGCTAACACCACTTTGTTTCTTTCCCTTTCTGTTCAACTCTCTAGGTCTAGGCTATGCCTACACTACACACCACTGGGTGGCAGCATGTAGGGAGTGTATAGCTACACACACAGTGAAAAGCCTGTGGTGTGTAGCTAAACTTGTGAGTGAAGGGCTCTGGCAGGGGGATACAGCAAGGAAAAACGTCAGAAGCTCCCCACTGTAGGAGCTTTTGACTGCGGCAAGGAAAGACTCTGGCAGGAGGGAGGCAGCAGGGAAGGGCTTTACAACAGGGTGCCTTTCCCTTCAGCATCCCCAGAGTCTTTCCCCTCTTGGGTGTCCTTGTCCTGTGGCTGGGAAAGGCTCCAGGAGTGGGGAGGCAGCAGGACACTATACAGCTAAAAATAGCAGTGTAGATGGGGAGGCAGGGCTTAGGCAAGTAGAGAGCATGATTGAAGGGTATGTACTCCCATACATGCCCACAACCTTCTGTATGTGTTTAATGTACTCACCTAAGCCATGCCTCACCGGCTATGCCCATGCTGGGGGGGAAGGGAGGGGACGTATGTACTCTACACTCAGCCGAAAGAAGCATGCGGTGTAGATGTACTCTCAGGTCATGGCAGGATTTTCTTATTCACTGTTTGAAAAATGCACACTGAAAACCTATGTACTGGTACCTACATAATTAAATATATATTTTTTTAATCTTAAAAAATCCCAACACCTTTGCTTTGATTTGTTTGCATATCTTGCAGAGTGTTTACTAGAGCTAAACATAATACTGGCAGGCAATAGTCAAGCTTCCCCAGCTCTTCCAGAGTCCTTCAGTGCTAACTTGAAGTGCAGCTGGCATTGGAGACTCTGGGACCCTTCTTGAACAGAGATGACAAATCCCACTGAATTGTGTGCGCATTTTATTATGTAGATGGATGTGCATAAAACACATGGATATGACCAATAACTTATTTTAACTCGTGATCTGAGCCAGCATTTGAGTCTTGTTATCTACAGATTAAATAAATTGATCTCCCAAAATTACTCCTGTCACTGTAGAAAAAGGGTAGGATCTGATTTCTGGTATTAAATTTAATGTAATAAAGAGTCTATATTTATCATTTCATTGTTAATTTTTTCTTGAACATTCTGAATTATTCTCCTTTTTAATGGTGCATGCCTATAATTTAGTTGCAAAATGTAGCTTGCAATTTTTTACCAAGAAAACCCCCTATGTTTTTGTGATTTTTTTTAAATGAAAAAACAACATGTAAGCATCACATTTTGTTATTGGAAACTCCACTACAACATTACTGTGTTAGTGAAGGGGAAACTGACCAGCCTAATTTTGTTGTCCAATGATCAAGGAAGTTTAAAAAAAAAAAGTAAATGGGATGAAAGGTAAAAAGTAAATTGGGGTTGTTTTTTGGTTGGTTGGTTGGTTGTTTTTGTTCTGATAATCTACATTGAGAAGTTTTGTACACCCATCGCTGTAGTGAGTGTCTCCACTCAAAAGTTAGGTCGACCCAGCTATGTCACTCAACAGTATGAAAAATCCACACCCCCGAGTGACATAGTTAAGCCGATCTAACCACTAGTGTAGACAGTAGACACCTACGTACCGCCTCTCAGGGAGGTAGATTGACTGCACCAATGGGAGAACCCCTCCCATTGCTGTGGTGAGAGTCTACACTCAAGTGCTACAGCAAGGTCAAGTGTAGACAATGTGCTAATATGACACAAAGGAAATTTGTTTTTAAATTCAGTCTGTGATTTTAGCTTGATTTCCTCCTTTAATAACTGTTGCCGTACTCTGGGTTTTAAAAGCTGTTATGGCATGTTTCTTTTTCCTAGCATGCATGATCTTTGAGGTAAAAAAGTAGTATATCAGCCACTGTGAGTACCTTATCCTTTCTTGATAACAGTACCAACATCTTTCTTGCTTTCTTTCATTACTTTTTACAAGACTTCATATAGGGCCAAATTCTGACAGCCTACCACTTTTCTTCCTAAAGAGATTTACACAAACAAAAGCAGCATTAATTGTGTGCTTATCCTCCAGTTGGTCCTACATGCCTGCATAGATTATTCCTTCCAACAGCAGGGTAAACAGAGTTGGTCAGGAGTGAGTGGAGCACTAACCACATAAGGGCTCCTATGCAGAGATGGTCAGGAAATAATTTTATCCCCAACAAAAAAAATTCAAAAGAGAATGCATTTTTTAATGTTCATCAAAAATGTTTCTTTGAAATTTTATATAATTAAAAAAAAACCAAATAAACTAATTCTCCTAAATTTTTCAGTTGCCAAAAACAATATAAACCAAAAAATTGGTAATTGGATTTTCATTTTTTATTGAAAACCTGAAAACTGTAAACAAAAATAGAAAAATTTCATGCAAATTTTCTTAGAGACAAAAAGCCATTTTCCATCTAACAAACATTTAGATGGAAAATTTTTGACCAACTCTACTCTCATGTTGAAATGTGTTCTATTATGTTGTTCTCTTGTATTTGTCACTGTAGCTAAAATGTACTATTAAAGTGTATGGATTTTAGCTAGAAAATCCCAGTAGACCCTACATAATATCCTTTACTATATGAATCTCCTTCTGAGATCCTTGGGTAACTCCACACTCACAAACACCATTCATCTGATTATGCTTTTGAGTTCTAGTTGCACAGCAGATGATTTGACCTTGGCTCCCTTGACAGAAATACCTCAAACCACTGTCACACTTAAAATGGTTGTGGTTTATTTGCTCTAAACATTTTCTTCTGTTCAGTTTTTAAACATGTTCAGTTTGTGGTATTAGTAGAAGTTCTGCACCAATAGTTACTTGTTAAATACTTATTAAAATCCTCTTTGGTGTACCATCATGCATAACAGAACCCAGTCTTGAGCATAGAAGTTCTGGTTGCTTTTAATCACTGACATTAAACACCAGAAACATCAATGAGCTAGGATATCTGTGGTCAGAAGGGTGTTTCCCTTCTGTCGAAATGCAGTTATAACTGTACTTCTCCAGCATAAGACAATTATGTAGTCTTAAAAGTGCATCTGTAATGGTGAGGGATTTTCCCCACAACAGAACAGCTTGGATCCTGTCAGAGCAGCTTGTCTATACTCAGGTTGGCCATAGCTTCAGGTGCTGATCCCTGTGCTAATTATCTCTGTCAGCAGCACAATCATCAGTTTGTGTCAGGGATCAACTGACTTCTGGTTGATTCCTCAGCCCTGTAATGGTGCCGTACAGTTGTCATGCATTCTTCAGTACACACAGGCCATGAGGGATAGTGTGTTAATCAAGACAGCAGATATACACATGATAGCAATAACACTCTGGGATGTGTTTCATATGGTAGTTTTGATAATATTTGTATCTATTCTGCTTTGGATGTTTTCACTGTGATATTAACATGAACAGCAACAACAGATGCTGGAATTGCGGAAAAGAAAATGGAGACTTGATAAAGATATTAAAACCCTGCCCATTAGTGCTTTCCTTCTGGAATGACATGAAGAAATAAACATTCATTTGTTTTTAAATAATAACTTATCTAGAGACCTCAAAAATATGCACCTGGAGATAATAATCTACTGCTCTAGCAAAGTAGCCCATAAGATATTATTATTGAATGCTGCCAGTGTGAGGAGCAGACAGTGGTAGAAGCTGCCATCAACTCCTGTTCCGCCAGGGTGCCCACAGCTGGCGGAGTCTTAGAACCATCTGGCTAGGAAGTGGGGGCTAAGACTTCTTGAGACAGAATTTCCCTGGGGCACAGTTGCCTCTGTGGGTGCAGAAGGATTGCAGATTGACACCCCTTTTCCCATGCACATGGGATGAAGCAAGCCCTATATATACTGTAATCAGTTTACAAGTAAATCTGTGAATAGGAACAAAATATTTGTTTGACAATGTCGGACAAGTTCTTTACCCTGCTGAGGGTTAGTTTACTTTCTTCTTTGAGTGCTGTCCCTGTGAGTGTTCCACTCCAGGTGACAGTGCGTCCCGGCGCCGTTGATCAGAGATCTTCGGTATAAGTGCCTGGTCAGCGCAGCTGTTGTCTTGCGGCGTCATTTGAGTCTGTGCAGCGCGCACATGGCCCGACTCCCTCAGTTCCTTCTCAACTGTCCTCGGCTGAAGACGGAGATCAGGGCAATGCTGTAGCTTCTTCCCCTATTGACAGGAAAATTAAATACGATTAACCCAGTTCCACCCTGCCCTTTAGATAAGTTAGTTAATAGTTAGTTAGTTAAAAAAAAAAAAAACTTTTATCCCCCATTTTTCTTCAAGCTCCCCGCAGAGCGAAAACCTTGATACGTATTCTTGGTCCACCGCAACCTCTCCCTCTTTTACTTCAACATGCCAGGCTCCCCTGGTTTTAAAAAATGCGGGTCCTGCAATGAGGCAATGCCGTGCTCGCTTGCTCTGTGTGCGGTGCCTCGGAGAGACACACATTCTGGCAAAGTGTGCCACTGTAGCAACCTAAAAGCAAAGGCCCAATTGCAACCGAGACCTGCACCTGAAAATGATCCTTATGGAGAAATCGCTCCAGTATGGATCGGAGAAGGATGTATCTAAACCTTCTCCTAAGTGCTCTCCATCCCTCTCGGAACCAACCAAGAGCACAGCGCCACCCTTTCAGGAGAAGAGGAAGCGAGCCTCGAGCTCCACACACAGGGAACCAACTAAAAAGAAGCGATCCCCTGCGAGGTCGCTATCAGCAGTGCTGACGGTCTTGAGAGCCAGCACCTACGACTCTCCCCGCACCTCCAGCACCAGGAGCACCACCCATAAGCTGAACAAGTCGAGACATCAAACTACCCATGTCTCCTCCGCGCTGACGGTACCGACGCCCTCGTTGGAACCAGTGCCCGCCACACAACTACCTCCGGTGCCAACACGACCCTCAGTACCGCCACCGGCACCAACAAATCTCCCGGCACTGGCAGATGGCACCACAATGGGGCCACCGGCACCTGCTAAATACAAGATGCCTAAACCATCAGGATCGATCACAACACGTCAGTGCCACACCTGCCAGCACCACAACAATTCTTAACGCAGAAAGACATCTCTGTGGTGCCGGTGCCAGAATCACCTTCACTCGGCACCGTGAGTTCTCTTTTAACCCAACCAACTTCACCCCCGGCATATTCAGTGTTTACTGATAGCGATAATGAGGACCAGGACCAAGAGGAGCAACTGTTCTCACCACCAGATTCTCCTACAGCCCCGTAAAACACACCTCTGGGGCTTTACAATACAAAGAACAACCCCAATGGCCACGGTATGGCCCCCCATGGATGGGCCCCCACATGCCATATCCAATGCAATGACCACTATGGGACCCATGGGCAGCGTATATGGCTCACCACACCTGCACTTCATCACCACCCAGGGCACAACTTCGCTCCTAACCAGTATCCCCAGTGCACCCTACATCCATGGATGCAGTGGACCCACCGGAGGAGCCTGAGGAAGAGGCCATACCTGAGATGCTATCCCCGGAATACAACTCGTCCTTGTCTCCAGATGAAGCCGTCATGCCACCTGTGTGCACTCTGGTCTGGCGATTTCAAATAGTGTCAGGAGCTGTTCAAATAAATAGCAGTCAGTCAGGAAATTCCATTAGAGGAGGTTCAAGAGAATCAACATAAGCTCTTGAAAATTTTGCAACCCTCTTTGGCATCAAAAATTGTGGCCCTATAAATGATGGCATTTTAGAACCTGCTGAAAATATATGGCAGACCCTGGCTACTGCTCCACCAACATGCAAGAGGGCAGATGGCAAATATTACATCCCAGTCAAGGGCATGGGCTTCCTATTTGCCCACCCATAACCCAATTCCCTGGTGGTGGAAGCAGCAAGCCACAGGGAAAAACAACCTCAACACCAATCCACACTGCAAGATAAGGACCACAAGCGCTTAAACCTCCTAGGCCGCAAGGTATATACATCATCCAAACTACAATTTAGAATAGCCAACTATAGCGCACTTCTTGCCAAGTACAATCTATGGCAAACTTTTCTAATTCACCACAGATATACCAGAGGACAGGAGAGCCCAATTCAAATTGGTCCTGATCGAGGGACACCTGATCACCAGAATGGCCCTACAGGCTTCCCTGGACAAGGCCAATGTGGCAGCTCGAACTATGGCTACCGCAGTGGTCATGCGCAGAGCCTCATGGCTATCATCATCTGGCATCCCGAAGGAGCTCCAATTAAAGATAGAGGACCTGGCCTTTGACAAGGACAAATTATTTTCAGCAAAAACAGACGAAGTCCTGCACACAATGAAGGACTCACGAGCTACCCTGCGTACTCTGAGCATATACACTCCGCCCCCAAAAATAAAGTGGTACCATCCATACCAGAGACCCAGGGCACCACAATACAACCACTTGCAATCCAGACCTTATGAGGCGGAAAGAAACCGCAATAGACTACCCAGGCGCAGACAGAACCAAACAGACCAGTCAGCGTCCCAACCATCTGGAAACAACCCACAATTTTGAAGGATTGGTCGAGGGTCTGAGCAACCACCCCCTAACACCAGCACTCACCTGCCCATTTGGCCACCGCCTACATCATTTCTACCATACCTGGCAGCAAATCACACAAGACCTCTGGGTTCTGGAGATAGTATATTCGGGCTACTCCATCCCTTTAACTTCCTGCCCACCTACCCTACCCCCTTCCCCTCTCCTCTTCAGTGACCCTTCTCACGAGCACCTGCTACGAATTGAATTAAATAATCTTCTTCAGCTAGGTGCAGTAGAAACAGTGCCAACACAATACAGAGGGAAGAGATTCTATTTCCCCAGAAGAAAAGCAGCGGATGGCGACCGATACTAGACCTATGAAGGCTCAACAAATTCATATGCTCCCAAAAATTCAAGATGGTCACATTGGGCACAATAATCCTAGCACTGGAACGGGGGACTGGTTCTCAGCCCTCGACCTACAAGACGCATATGTCCACATCTCAATACATCCAGCACACAGACGATTCCTCCGATTCATAGTAGGACAAGAACATTTCCAGTACAGAATGCTCCTATTCGGTCTCTCCACTGCACTGAGGGTATTCTCCAAAACCCTGGTAGTAATCGCAGCTCATCTACGCAAACAAGGGATCATATTTTTCCCATACCTGGACAACTGCCTCATCAAGGGTCGTTCATACAAAGAGACAGAAACAATCACAATTCTCACCATCAACCTCTTCCAGAGACTAGGGCTGCAAATAAATTTTCAAAAATCCACTTTGATACTCACACAAACAACTGGAGTTCATCGGGACCTATCTAGACTAAACTCAGGCCAGAGCCTTGCTACCTCACACCAGATTCCTGGCCATCAAACCCCTCATAGACACTGTGTTGATCTGCCCAAGAATTGAGTCAGTGCTTACAACTACTAGGTCACATGGCCACCACCACATTCGTGGTGAAATAAGACAGACTACACATGAGGTGCCTCCAGGGCTGGATGAGCTCCATATACAGACCCACCAAACACAGACTCAACATGATGGTAACACCACCCACTGCTGTACTAATGTCATTACAACGATGGACAAAGACAGAATATCTGCATAGGTGTCCCCTTCCACCACAGACTTCCCTCCATCATGATAACTACAGATGCTTTCCTACTGGGCTGGGGAGCACACCTAGACCACCACACGATACAAGGAAGGCGGTCAATGTCAGAATCACACCTGCACATAATCCTTCTAGAGCTCAGGGCAGTGCAAAAAGCCTGCATTCACTTCTTACCACTCTTAAGGCACAAATCCGAATAATGACAGACAATATCACATGCATGTTTTACATTAACAGACAAGGCAGGGCTGGATCGTGTTCCTTATGCGTGGAAGCAATGAAACTATGGAACTGGTGCATCCAGCACCACATCAACATCTCCACTTCATACCTACCCGGATGTCGGAATACTATGGCTGATACACTAAGAAGACAATTTTCACAGGAACACAAATGAGAACTGAATTCGAGGGGCGTACAACAAATATTCGACCTACGGGGATTCCCATCTATCGACTTATTTGCCACAACAAAGGACCGCAAATGCCCTCTCTTTTGCTACAGAGCAGGGCTCAACTCCTGCTCTCTGGGAGACGCTTTCCTGATTTGATGGGACAAGACACTTATGTATGCACTCCCACCGATCCCACTAATACACAGGGTTCTATACAAGGTCAGAGACGGCAAAGCCAGGTACCCTTACCTGCTGTGCATGTCAGTGTACCCTCCACGAACTCTCTTGATGGACCTCCTATCCCAGGACGACGGTCAGATCCTCCATCCACAACTGGAGAGGCTCCACCTGAAAGTGTGGTTCCTCCATGGTTCCAAGTACAAGAGATAACCTGTTCAGAACAGGTCAAATGCATATTACTGAACAGCAGACAGGACTCCACGCACAATACTTACATTCAAAAGTGGAAACGTTTCTGTGTATGGTGCCTGCAAAAGGGCTCACTCCCTACACTACACCCCTTCCTGTACTGCTGGATTACCTGGTAGAGCTCAAGAATTCAGGACTTTCATTCAGCTCTATCAAAGTACATCTCGTAGCAATTAATGCTTTTCATGACAGAATTGATGGATTCTCGGCATTTACATATCCAACCACCAAATGCTTCCTCACAAGGCTTCAGAACCTTTACCCCAAAGTACACCCTCCCACATCCACGTGGGATCTGAACCTAGTCCTCTGGGTCCTCATGAGTCCTCCCTTTACAGCCCTAACTTCCTGCTCTTTACTACACATGTCAATGAAGGTAGCATTCCTAGTTGCCATCGCATTGGCTAGACGGGTGAGCAAAATAGACACACTGATGGCCAATCCTCCCTATACAATCTTCTTTAAGGATAAGGACACAATGCGACTTCACCCTAAATTCCTCCCGAAGTTTGCATCCAAATTACACGTCAACCAACCAAAACACCTTCCCACGTTCTACCCTAAAACACACAAAACCCCACAGGAGGCCACACTACACACCCTTGATGTGAGAAGAGCAATAGACTTCTATTTAGACAGAACAAAACCATTCCGTAAATCCCCTAGACTCTGTCTCCACAACCAAACGATCTAAGGGTGCCGCTATATCCAAGCAACGACTTTCCAAGTGGATATCAGACTGTATCAGATCATGCTATCAGACCCAGAACATAGAACCTCCTGCCGGGGTCAGGTCCCACTCTACTTGAACCCATAGGCGTGTGCAGCACATTTCATTAGGGTGTGCACCCAGGGAATTTTTTTTTTTAAGGCGAACATCATAAAGGGCAGGGTGTGGGAGGGGGTGCTGTGTGCAGGAAGGGGCTGAGGGCAAGGGATTGGGGCAGAGGAGGGGTGTGGGGTGTATGAGGGGGCTCAGGGAAGGGGGTTGGGGTGCAGGGGGGGTGCGGCAGGGGGCTCAGGGCAGGGGGCTGGGGTTCAGGAGGGTGCAGTGTGCAGGAAGGGGCTCAGGGCAAGGGATTGGGACAGAGGAGGGGTGTGGGTGTATAAGGGGGCTCAGGGAAGGGGGTTGGGGTGCAGGAGGGGTGCGGAGTGCAGGAGGGGGCTCAGGGCAGGGTGTTGGGGTGCAGGAGGGGTACAGGGTGCAGGCAGGGGGCTTAGGGAAGGGGGTTGGGGGGCAGGAGGGGGCTCAGGGCAGGGGGTTGTGGGGCAAGGTGCAGGCAGGGGGCTCAGGGCAGGGAGTTATGGGCCAGGGGGTTGGGGTGCAAGGTACAGGCAGGGGGCTCAGGGCAGGGAGTTGGGGGGCAGGGGGCTGGGGTAAGAGGTGCAGGCAGGGGGCTCAGGGCAGGGAGTTGGGGGACAGGAGGGTAGGCTGTTTGTAGGCAGGCCCGCGGCTGGGGATCTGGGCTCCCCCGTCCTGGCAGGCAGGCTCGGGGGCCGGGCAGAGGAGGCCGGGCTGGGCGCTTGGGGCCAGGCCGGGCAGAGGCAGCTGGGGTGGATCGCAGAGGGGCCGGGCTGCTCCCAGGGCTGGACTCAAGGCCGAGGGTGCCGGGCCGGAGCCCCCAAACAGCACCGGGGAGCTGAGCTCGCAGCCGGGCTGTCGGGGGGCCTGTGGGCCGGGCTCACCCCCTGCCCCGGGCCTCCTGGCTCCCGGGCCCCACTTAAGGTGGACTGGGCTCAGGGGCGGCCTGACTCCCCTGGGTGGTGCCCGGGCCCCCGGCCAGTGCAGGGAGCCGCAGGCGGGTTTGGGGCCCTGGGTGCTGGAGGGGGGCAGCTGCCTTGGAGGGGGGGCTGTGGCCACCTTAAGCGGCTGTGTTGGTGCTGCCAGGGAGCACATGGGGCTGTTAAAACAGCCAGCCCAGCCCTGGGGAAGGGGAGCCCGGCTCAACAGGGTGCAGGCAGGGGGCTCAGGGCAGGGAGGGGGGGTGCAGGAGGGGTTCGGGCTCCGGCCCGGCGCCGCTTACCCGCAGCGGCACGCTCCCTGCCTGCCAGGGCCCCATGCCGCGCCACTCACCACGTCCCCGCGCAACCCCGGGGGACGGGTGGCACAGGGCTCTGCACGCTGCCCTTGCCACGCCTCCAGGTACCTCCCCTGAAGCTCCCATTGGCCGCGGTTCCCCGTTCCCAGACAATGGGAGCTTCGGGAGGCGGTGCCTGGAGCAACCCCCCGGCCCCAGAGACATGGTGCCCTGATGGCTGCTTCTGAAAACAGCGCGGGGCCTGCGGCACCACGGGGGGCAAATCCCACGGGCCGGATCCAAAGCCCTGAGGGGCCAGATCCGGATCCGGCCCATGGGCATTAGGGTGTGCCCGGGCACACCCGGCACACCCCGTGCGCACGCCTATGCTTGAGCCAGTCAACATCTGTGGCATTCCTACACAACGTACCCATTCTGGACATTTGCAAAGCCACCACATGGGCATTAGACCACACTTTTGCCAAGCACTATCCCATCACACAGAATGCCAGGTCAGATACCTTACTGTCCTCTCCGCTGCTACAATGCACATAAAGTCCCCCCAACCATAGTGGGTACTACTCTACATTCACCTTGAGTGGAGCACCCACAGGGACAGCACTCGAAGAAGAGACAGTTTCTCACCTTGTGCAGTAATTGAGGTTCTTCGAGATGTGTGTCCTTGTGGGTGCTGCACTATCCACCCTCCTCCCCTCTACTTTGGAGTTCAAGAACAAAGACTCTACGGTAGAGAAGGAACTGAGGGGGTCGGGCTGTGCATGCACTGCATAAACTCAAACGATGCTGCGAGACAACAGCTGTGCACGTGCGGACTGACCAGGCACTGCTACTGAAGATCTCCGATCAAAGGCGTCTGGACACACCGTCACCTGGAGTGGAGTACCCACAGGGGAACACATCTCAAAGAACCTCAGTTACTGCACAAGGTGAGTAACCTTCTCACACAAGTAGTTCCATTGAAATCCAAGGATGGCACAAACTGACCACTAATGATTATAGCTTTGCTGTACTTTTCTCGCTCATTTATTTTTTTTTCTATTTACAGTCCTCTCTCGTTTTGGATTGGATTTCAGCTATTGTTATCACTCTGTTAAAAGTCACTATTCTATTAACTAGTGTTGCTCAAATTGAGTTTTAAGATTCTCTAGTGATGTGTCACTACTATTTGCAATATGCTGGATTCTAAGTTAAATTTTTGAAATATTGAAATGACAGCATGGAGCATCTCTTAGCTGTTTTGCTGAATCAGGGCATTGATTACACGTTCAAATGACCAAATTCATATATCATGTACACCAGTTCTCACTGAGGGTAGGCATGTGTTGGTGTGAATAAGCATTTGAGAATTTGGAGAGGAAAGATGCAGGATTCGTTTCAGGTCTCTGACCTAATCTCTTCCCCCTAGCGCATGTGAAGTTACTGATGGAGAATGGCAGTGAAAGTTACGGATGGAGAATCTTCACTAGCTTATGGAGGTTCCACTTTTCACACTGTAGCATATCCACTAGAGATTCATGGGGCAGCTATGAATCAGTGAGACCCTGGTTTCATAGCTCTTTTAAGAGGTGTGCTATCTAAGAGAGGGAAGCAGCAGAGGAATTGGAAGTTGTGTAACAAACCAGAAGCAAGAGGCATGCAGACTTCTCTGTTGGGTCCTCTGAATTTGTGGGGACCTAAAGGCATCCACACGTGTGGGGTTAAGAAAGAATATGAGTCTATGAGTCTATATGTCTATATGTATACATTGCGCCTCATCTCTTGCATGCATAGGGTTAATAGTCTCGCCAACTCCAAATATTCAAAAATCATGAGTCAGGCCCTAACATATCCTGAGATAGACTTAAAAACCATAGGACTTTCAAAAATAATAATTTTATGGTTCTTATTTGTTTTATGGGTTTTTGAGACTGTGGGGTTCATGGTTTCCCATTTCATCCCCATGACTATGCAAGCTAGACGCATACTTTTCTTTTAAATGAAAGCTGAGATTCTCCTGTAATAAAATGGGGGGTTGACATTACCATATCAGAGATGGAAGCCAAACTTGAACAGCTAAACGGGACTAAATCGGGCGGACCAGATGATCTTCATCCTAGAATATTGAAGGAACTGGCGCGAGAAATTGCAAGCCCCTTAGCGATAATTTTTAATGAATCTGTAAACTCGGGGGTGGTACCGTTGGACTGGAAAATATCTAATGTGGTTCCTATTTTCAAGAAAGGGAAAAAAAGTGACCCGGGTAACTACAGGCCTGTTAGTTTAACATCTGTAGTATGCAAGGTCTTGGAAAAAATTTTGAAGGAGAAAGTAGATAAGGACCTTGAGGTGAATGGCAATTGGGACAAATTACAACATGGGTTTACGAAAGGCAGATCGTGCCAAACCAACCTGATCTCCTTCTTTGAGAAAGTAACAGACTTTCTAGATAAAGGAAATGCGGTGGATCTAATATACCTCGATTTTAGTAAAGCGTTTGATACGGTACCGCATGAGGAATTACTGGTTAAATTGGAAAAGATGGGGATCGATATGAAAATCCAGAGGTGGATAAAGAACTGGTTAAAGGGGAGACTGCAGGGGGTAGTACTGAAAGGTGAACTGTCAGGTTGGAGGGAGGTCACCAGTGGGGTTCCTCAAGGTTCGGTTTTGGGTCCGATTTTATTTAATCTATTTATTACTGACCTCGGAACCGAATGTAGGAGTGGGCTGATAAAGTTTGCGGATGACACAAAGTTGGGAGGTATTGCCAATTCAGAGAAGGATCGGGATATCCTGCAAGGAGACTTGGATGACCTTGTGAATTGGAGTAATAGTAATAGGATG